TTTCTCAGTTAACTCGAACATTTCTTTCTGGTAAATTAGATAACCTCCAGTTCTTCTAAAGATTTGTTGTTCTTGTTTTTTTAGTTTAATATTTTTAATTTAAACCCATTTTTTTTGACAAATGAAAAATTTCAACTTAACCTTGAAAAGTAAAGCAATGCAGCTTTGCCCTTTTTACTTTATAAATTTGAGTTAACCATTTTTTTCACATGTCTTTTTCATGAGTTTTCCTATTTTTTCTTCTACATTTATGAATTTCTTTTCAATCAAATTTGCCAATTCTTGTGTCTCTAAAACCTTTTTCTTCAAAATTTACAAGTGTTTTCTCATCACAAATTTGTGACTTTAATCTCAAATGCCACTTTGTTTTTTTCTTGGATTTACAAATGTGTAAAGCTATCCAAGTGTTCATAAACACTTGGATTGCTATGTAATTTTCAGTCTTTTAAACACCACAAGACGAAGGCCACTTACTTGTTTATTAAAGTGAAAGCAGACATTTCCAAAACTGGCCACTCAAATGAGAAAAATCTTGATGGATAAACAATACTAAACCTCGGGGGAGAAATATTTCAGTGAGATTCAAACTGTCTCTTTAATCTCTTCATGAAAAGGATGAGTCAGTCATTGTCTGGGAAATGGTTGTGGTCTCCTGCAAATAGTTGTTTCGGTTAAAGCCCAACAAACTGCTGAATCTGACTAAGAACAGATCTTTTTTTTCTACAGCACATGTTGTAGCTTTTGAAGGCAGGGAGACATAGATGGTACCATAGTAATAATAATAATGGCTCTATCACAGTGTCCCATTATGTCAGAACACAAAATGCCATAACCCTAAAAGCAGCAGCATGGACGGCAGCCATCAGTAATCCCTTCATTTAGATGAGTGCTGACACCTTCTGTGATCAGCTCGTATGTATGAGAGTGTGTGACAGGGAAGAGTTGTGGCCTGTTTGCTGTTCATCTTGTATTTCCCACCTTTCACGGCCTGATTGTGTGCAGCAGAAGAACAAAGAGCTTTGAGTTCTCTCTCCCCCTTCACTGCAACATTTTACACACACACCGAGCCATGGCTGGCAGCGGTCAATCAAGGTTCCTGTGTAATGTGTAAACACATGTGTGGGTTGGCTAAGGTCACTCACCTGGACCGCAGTCGTGTCCTCACATGAATAAAACAAGGGCGGAAGATTGACGGACTGATAAAAACACACTTTTTAATTTCTAATATTGCAACAGACCCTTTAAAACCCTGTTACGGGTTCAGATATTGAGGGTGAGCACAAAAACAACAATGGTCCAGAAGAGCTTCGGTCAAACAATGATTTTAATGAACACACGCGTGGGGAGATGAACACTGCACAAAGACAGCATCGATCTCCGCCCAATGATACACAAGCAGTTGTTTTATACCATCAGGGTTTTGTTTATGACGCCCCCTCATGCGTCAAACAAATACAATTCATGCATAAGTTTCAAAAACAACAAACGTTCTGTTGACGACTTTTGACTTTTCACATTTAAAAGGACATCTTCTCCGTCTCGAGGCCAGGTGCTTTCTATTAATCTTCTAACTCTCGCTTATCTCCTGGAACAAACTGACCCTTAGGCAGACACAATTTTGCAGTCACAAGCTTTTGCAAACTATTATTTGAACTCTTACCTAAACATGAGTCTAACTACTGTTTGTGTGGGTCTCGACCTCCAACGCACTCAGCCTCACCCCGACCGTTGGCGCTTCTGGCCTTTTACCAGACAGAAGCTCTCTGTGATAGGTGTAATAATCATAACTAAGAACATGTGTAATCTATTGAATAAATGCTTTGATGAAATGATAATTAATGTAATGGTAATGATGATGGTTATGAATAGTAGCAGTAAAATATTTCCCTGATCTCCACAACCCCCACAGTTTCTTTCTTCTGTTTGCCTGCTGTACTTCACATTCACCACCCACAGCCATCTGCATTCCTGCAAACACTGGTCTCAACTAGCACGGCCTTCCAGCCTCAGGGATCGATAGATTGTCCTGACCGTGGCATATATGCCCTCTGGATCCCAGGAATTGTGACAGCAGATGCCAGCAAACTGCACACTTTTCCACAATCTCTCTGCTCCTCATCCTAACTCGACCTCCATCTGCACCGCGGTGTAGCTGAACCAACCGTGGGCTGTGGGGACTGAACGCTGCGAGGCCTGGGTCAGTGAATGTGCTGCAGGATGACTTGGAAAGCAATGGCAGGTGCACTACTGCTCACTCTGAGCCTTATTTTGCTGGAGTGGGGAGCTGAGGGCCAGGGAAACGGATGTGATAAGGTATGTTAGTGCAATGCACAATGCCTAGAATTAAAATGTGCACTCGGTGTGTGTGCGTAGGAAGTATCATCTATATGCACCTTTTCAGCTTTTAATGAAGTCCCTGATTCTCTGCAGAAGCATGGATGACTGTAGTGGTAAATATTGTTTCTGCACACTTACATGCTACAGCTCCTGATGATTGGAAATATCTGCCTGTATCATTTAGATACATCTTTTTCTTCTAGAAAAATCTACTTTGTTGGCTCATAGGTTGTGTTTTAAAGAATAAAAGTCGGGGGGGGGG